GGATGTGTAGTGTTCTCTGTTTGTATTAATATTTTTGGTAGTATTTTACTATTTTGTCGTATTTTTGCTTTGTAACAGTGATAAACTATCAATGATCAGTTATTGATAAGCTAACCCTGTGGTATTTGTGTTAGCTTATCAAGAATCATAATTTATGGCACTATCGTCATCATTACGCACATTAACTGTTGTTTCACACAAGTTGAAGATGCAAGGCAGTGACCTCACATTCCAGGATTTTATCATTTAGGGAATATCACAAAGGTAAGGAGCTTTTATTCCCAGGATGATGATAAGAAAGTTTGCCCTCTTTACCACTGGCAGAAGCACAGTAACACACTGCTAACAGAAATAGTCCATTACCTGTGTATAGAATTTTAGAGCAGCCATTGTTTTAGTTTACAAAAAAAGGTGTATAAATGCGCCTGTAACACAGGTACAAAGGTCATTCCTCTAAACTTTACACCTGATTGTAAAATATTATGCCAATTTATCAGGGCCTAAGTAACCTGGCTCAGCAATATCTGACAGGCATGTGAACTACAAACCAGCTATAACGCTCATGTTATCGGGTTTACTCACCTCATTTAATTTTTCTTTGTATTAGTGTGCATGAATTTATTACTTTTATCTTTCAGATCATTATTTTTTTATTTTTGACTCACATTTTTATATATTTTGTAATCTTGCTCTTAATTCTTGCATTTAACTTTATTTTATTCGTACTTGCTTAATGTTTGATTCACTTTTTGGACTTCTCTTCATGATTATTTCAGATTAAAAATGAAAAATAAATTGCACACATTTATGTCTCTTCATTCAGTTTTATGTCAGCTAGAAAATTTGATGATTAAACCTCCACAGCAGTACTCATTTTGTTTATCGTATTTTGCCTCCACTTGGAATCGAATGTGTTAAAGGCATAAAGGTTTTCTTTCTTGTTTGCCTGCCTAAATTTTAATAGATATTATTTAACTTTTTTAACCATAAGCAAGAAATTCATAGTTTCAATTGTATTTACATAAAATGATGCTGCCATGGAGTTTGAGTTAATATGACCTCCAAATTTTTAAACTGTATAAATAACCTGAACATGAGACAGAATTGATGGATTTAAAGGTCTCAGTAAGTCAGTATAAAAGTAATGTGAGGTCATTTGTTACTTTTCCCATGAAAACAGAGAAAATGTTTCAGCTTGTACAGTTTTCCTTACTTACAATATTAAGTTTCAGTCTTGTTCTCAACTGATTCTGCACAGTTTCCTTCATCACCTGTTTGACTCTGTACTTCCCTGTGTACTACCTCCATGGGTGATGTGTCACCTTTTCCAGGGTTAAATAATGGAAAGATGTCACCTTTGAATGTAGCCGTGAAAGATCCAATTAGTGTTTTCTCTTCTACATTATAAAATGAAAGCTCACCACTGTCACGATCCAAATACACACCGACCGTCTCTGGTCTTGAATGG